TAGTCAGCAAGAGCTCCAACAAATATCCGCGGCCGGAGTCACCCAGCATGTGCAGCTCATCTACCACAACAATCCCTAGGAGAGAAAAAAAAGTGATACCTTACGCATCACTATCAAAAAGCACATACAGCATAAAGCAACATACAGCAACAACAACATAATTTACCAAGCAAATCCATTCTGTTGTCTTCAATGAGCCTGTTGATGAGCCCATTGGCTTTCTCTATTGTACATACAGCCACATCGAGTGCAGAGAAGCCACCAGCGGCTGAAGTGCTTCCCATATAGCCTTCCACTCGCACCCCTGCCTCCTGAAACACATTCTGGAAACAAGCACAAACGCAAACTCTTTAGACAGTGTTTAATGAATTGACATTAATTGACATGTATTATGTATTGGCGAGAAGACTGACAGTAAAAGAACACTACAGTTATCAGGGGGAAAAAAAAATCAGAATTGTCCAGAAAAGTGTTCTCATGTATGTGGGTGTGATAGCTATGGTGAACACTGGTGAGAATATAAACCAACCTGTAGATAAAACATTTTCTCTCTGGCCACAGAAACAAAAGGGAGGATGAATATGGCCTTTCGTCTAGTCTCCAAAACCCTTTTTAAGATTAATAACTCAGAAACCAGCGTTTTCCCAGCACTCGTTGGGGCTGAAAGTACAAAAGGACAGCAAGGTCACATGATGAAGCAGACCAACTACAACTCTAACATTGTTAAAGAACTGTTTATGTGTACCACAGCAATGCTCTAATGTTTCTCAACATCAAAAGCTTCATAATGAGGAAAGATGGAGTAACATTCAGTGTACACAATGTACAACTTAACCACAGAGGGAATGAATAATGCTTCTGGGCTTTTAGAAGTAAAGGTTAACCGTAGTGGTGTGTCATATATGATGTATATCAGACTATAAGACACAGGCTGGTGTGATATAATGATGTAATCATCCTTACATAATCTTACACTGCCATACACAGTATTCAGTGACATTGACATAGAACTTCCTTTTTCTTGGTTTTGAAATGATTTCCTACCGAAACCGAAACCAGTATTGGTAAAAGCTGTGGTCAATCCCACTCAACAGCACCTCTCAGTGGCATATAGAGCATTTTTTCATGATTAGTGCAGTATACAATATTTAAACTGTAAATTTGCATTTCTTACACAGTAAATCTCAATCAGCGAAAATGACTACATAATGAAATCTGGTTTTTTTGTTGTCACCTGAGGTTAGTTGGTTGTTTATAGACGCTGATGAAGACCACACAATTGTTATTTAGTC